TATATATATATATACACACATCACAGCAACAAAATTAGAACATAATCATGGTATCGAGTGGTAGCAACACATTTAATAGCTTATCATAATTTTTGGTTGTTTTTATGAAAGAACAAACATGAAATAATTTCATTAGTGTATTTAGTGATACATTTTAAAGCACTGGCTGAATTCGTCCTGTGATCATATTTAATTTATAAATTTTTTAATGGCTGTATATAATAACAGCAAAGAGCTTGTATTCATCTTTTGCGTAAATCTCTCAATAATATTTTAACATTATAATTATTCTATATCTAATCATGTGCTTCTATATCTAAACTAGTGCTTAATCTTTTTATTTGAAACGGATTATTCAGTTACATTTTTCGTTTCCATCGATTGTTGTTTCCTCTATTATTTTCTTGAGAATTTCAATACTTAACAATATATACACTTAAGAGCATTTGCTGTGTGTTGATTATACAGAGATAATACATAGATATTATAATTCAATTCGAATGAAAGGGACCACAGTACAATCTGTTAATTTATCATTTACGGCATTTTATGGTACTTTTTGAAGTCAGATTTTTAATTAAATTACTTATAATTTACCCATTGTTATCAAACTGTAGGCGATTTGGTCTAAAACGAAGATACATATACTTGTAATAACTGTAATATAGTTGGCAATATAAAGAAAAATTAATTATGCAGTTTATGTTAGAAAGAATTTTTTGCTCTTGAATTTAATCATTTTGAGAACGAAGTATATATACAGAATGCGCACATAAGCATAAATTGTTTCAGTATTTAAATGCTATCATCTTAAGTTATGCTTATGTATATATCTTTTTTTTTCTTCCAATTCCTTATTCGCCCTTTGTCATTAACGTGTGTGCATTAATATAATAAATTAAAAATAATCTTGTACGAAATTGTATTTTTGTTGTACAGCAGTATTGATTTACAGTTACATGTAGTTACATGTAGTTATATGTATGTACATATATATATATGTATATCAGAGACAGATACTCTAACAATACTTGGAGATATTTTCAACACAGTACAATCAAATATGAACATTATTTACAAAATGTACATTAGCAGAATCACATACACACAGAACATAAAGTTTTTAATCAAAACTCATTAATTTGCAAAGAAGCTTCTGTAATTTATTTTGTTTTTCCTTTTTTTTTGAGAAGCCAATTAATACATCAATAACATAAACACACAATCATAGTGTGAATTGAAATATGCTATCAGAACATTTGCAGTTATTGTGAAGATCAATCCAAGTTAAAAGATAATTTACTTGAGATTAATACTATATTGGTTTGTGATTCAATCACCTCTTTACTACTTCTGCTATACTACTTCAAATTGAATGTTTCACAATTTACAAAATCGTTCGAGTATCAAGCGTTCCTTACTAATTTTTAAGTTAATAAAGATAATGCAACATAAAACATTGTATTTTTCAACGCGCATATTATTATTGCTATACCTGTTATATGCAATTCTTCCTATTTCTTATTCAATCTCTATCAACCATTAATAATCGAAAATATTGTGATTTGCTCAGAAAAGAGAATTTTTCTAATATTCGCATTAGAATTATTATTATAATTTCTTATCAAATTTTGTGCAAGTTTTATATAAAAAGTCCTGAATATTATATATATTATATAATATATACATTCGTAAAATTTTTTTAAACAAAAACACGTGTTTATTTCATGTGTATATGCAGATAATTATTCGAGGAAAATTCTAGTATATATTTGTATATTATCTGCACTGCAATGTGTGATATAATATTTGCACATGCAGTATTACAAATTTCTATTTCTCTAATTTTCTGAGATTATTGTATCTTGCAAATGATCCACTTGTAATATCAATCATGATTAAAATTGCAATCTTTTAGCTAAAGAGGCACCTTCTAGAGACTCAAGCAGTTTTCTTTTTAAGCTAGGTCTTTCTTCACGTTGACGTTTAATAGTTGTAGGTAGAGGCAATTTAGGTCCAGGTGTAGGTGCAGGTTTGTTACTGAAATATGGCATCTGCAGTGCTTGATCGCATGTACATCTTTCTAATGGGTTCACATTCAAGAAACTAGCAATTAAATCCAAAAGATCATCACCAGCAGCAGTAAATATATGCTTCAGTGGTGTTCCAGGAAAGGGTTTGAATTGAATGAAATCTGGTAATTCAGTCATTCCCGGCCATGTTTCTTCCGTTGGAGTACCCAGTGTCTAAACAATAGAGAAAATATTCGATGAAGACAACAGAGAAAAATTATATATATATAATAAAATAATTTTTTGATAATTTAAGAATTATAACAATATCCTAAAGATTGATAAAAATATTTTAGTAGATACAAATTACCTGAAATATTCTAGTGAGTTGGTCCAAATCAGATTCACCAGGTAAAAATGGTACCCGTAGCAAAAGTTCAGCTAATATACAACCTATTGCCCACATATCAATTCCAGTTCCATAAAGTCTAGCACCGTAAAGTAATTCAGGTGCTCTGTACCATCTCGTGACAACTTGATGAGTATTTATCCGATTAGGTGATCCAAAAAATTTTGCTAAGCCAAAATCTCCAATTTTTAGAACACCTTCTGAATTTACCAGTAAATTATTTGGTTTTAAATCTCTATGAAGTATCCAATTAAAATGAAGATATTCTAGGCCTTGCAGTGTTTGGATCATGTATGCTTTGATATTTGCTGCAGTTAAAACTATATTGTTATCCTTTATTATTACTTCCAGATCAGTGTCCATAAAATCAAATACTAAGGATACATTGGATTTATGGCCGAAAACATCTGAAGTTGAAATTATACTTATAACAATAAAAATTTATTTTTATGTAAAACTGTATATATAATTATATATTATATTACTGTTTTACTTTTAATAAATTATTAATCAAATCTTTACATTAAAATATAAAAATAACACATACCCAATAAGCCAATGATATTATCATGCTTTAACTCTTGCAGTAATTTGATTTCTCGCAAAGCAGTTCTGTTTATGCCATCTTTGGCTTCTGCACGACTTCCAACTTTGATCTAAAAATATAAACATTAATACAAGTTGATAAAAAATATAAATTATATAAAATATATTTTCTATAATGAAAAAAAGTAACCTTTTTCACAGCAACTATTTTATTCGTTTCTTCATCTTTTGCTTTATAAACTGTGGCAAACTGGAATATATGATAATGTATTTATATTATATTTATAATATTGTGTATAATAAGATCATATATAAGATTATAATCAATATAAACAAATCTACATGTACATATACTATGTGTATTAAACAAGTAAAAGCATTTATTATATATATATGTGTGTGTATATATGTATAATATATAATTTTTATATAATTTTATATAAAATTATGAAAGTGACAAAAAATGTTTTGTAACCTGTCCTTCGCCTAAAAAATCGATTTTCTCGTATCTTCGCACTTTTTCCATTACTGCAAACATTTGTTTCATATACGTGTTTTGCTTTTTTACTACGAATATTTTTAAATAATACGCCCGTTTTACATACTACATACAATATATATTATTTCTCTCGATATCAGAGAAAAGCCTAAAAGAGCGCATGGCCATGCCAGTAACCAGTAATGTCAGAATGGAGACTCAAGCAACACACAAACGCAACACGCAATTAAAAATTAAAGAATTGTGTTCGAAAATCTACTCGTCACATATATACATACAGTAACATTTAATTGACCAATCAGGGCAAAAGACTCTTTGTCCTAATAGGCTAATCAAACGCTACTTTATTCCGAGTAGATTTTAGAACGCACCCTATTGCTTAAGTTCTATTGAAAACACATCTTTTCTCAAGTCGGAGCAATATTTGGTTTTTGGGTCACTTCTGCTAGTTCTGCTTAGAAGTGTTGGAAGTTGGGAGTATGTTTGTTCAAATTCGACAAAAGTTACTGTTTAATACGGTAACGAAATATGGGAAACAGAAGAGATATAGCATCTCCGCTATCAGCGAAGTAAAGGATGAAGTTAAAGACACGGTAGAACCGGTGTATCCACCCATCGAAGAGTTAAACTGGAAAGCTAGGTTGAAGAGGAAGAAGCAAACTTGGCATGAAAAGATCAAGAGTTTAAAAACTGTAGAAGAGAAGCTGTTCGAGTTTAATATGCCACGATATTATGGTTGGAAATCGCTGTTCTTAAATGAACATGTAATACCATACAATTCTTTGTCACATGCACAGTATATTACAAGGACACACATCATCAAAGAGCCTGGTCTTCCAGCATACTACAACAATGTAATTTCCACTGAGCAGTTAGATTGCATTGTACAAGCAATAAAAAATGACATAGAAGATAATATAATCTTTGAACATTGTATCAGAAGGTTGGTATATATTTCTATTATATTTTGTTGCGAATTAAAAGTATTTTTTTATTTATAATATACGGAACCATACAAATGTTCAATTTATCTATTGATTGTTATCTGTTTATTACTAGCTAGTATTATTGACTATTTACAATTATTTATTTGTGCTCAAGTTGCATAGATTTGGAAGTTATTTCTTTTCTTATATGAATATATTATAATGTTGCAGAAGAGAGCATGAAATTGAAACTGGTACATCAGATGAAAATATTGTGAATTTAGAAAAGGAATTGAAAATAAAGAATAATATATGTCAAGGACTCATTCAAAAAATTAATAGAACAATACTGATACATCTCTCTTCTATGTATCCACATTTATTACAAACAGAAGTTGATATCGAGCCGAGATTGGAAGCATCTTGGTTTACTGGTGGTATAGATCCTCCCCCCTTTACAAAGAGATACAGAAAAAGAATTAAAAGTTTGAGAAATTCTATTGACGACCCGGTAGATTTGCCTGTTCAATATCTGGGTCATCCTGCCATGCATTTGAGATATAAGCATCCTTTGAGAGAGATTATTCCTTTAAGCGAATGTACAAATCCAGCTTTGGAGGTACCTACATTTAAGATGTGTCCATTAGTATTGACTTATAGACTTGGTCGGAGACATTTGACTAATATTCCTGGATTCTGGCCTGGTGATGAAAATGAATTTGGATTCTTATCTTATCATAATTGCACAAGTTTGCAAAAAAGATTAAAAAAATATGATGATACATTTGAAGCACTTACTGTACAGGCAATATTAGCATCTTATAGTTGGTTATTGTCACAAGCCTGTTACCAAGGTATCTATATGTTCAATGTTATGTTTTAAATACTAACTTGAATATTAGTTTTATACATATATGTATAAAATTTCAGGTTTTTCTACTTTTAATGATATTACATATCCCTTAACCACTCAAACGGTTATAACAGATGGGCAATGGTGGTCGTTCTTTGTTTACCAACTTAATACTACATTGATACACTCTGAATATGCTGATGAAAATCCAAAACGTAACCTGTGTTGGATCACAAACCCGATAAAATTATTTGATAAGATAGAAAATGAAAAAGTTTATGGTTTAAATGAAGAAGTCCTCAAGACTTTGATTAAGTTTTACACAAATATCCCTGAGGAAAGGATAGGTGTAGATTTGAAACCATATTTAGGGCAATCCATTAAACTAATAGCCAATATAAAAGGTGGTGAAAAAAGAAATTGGCTTGAGAAACAGTATAAGCATCTTGTGTGTAACAGGCCAAGATTAAGGTGTGTAATAACAGTATAAATAATTTTCAAAATATAACATTATAATAATGTTATAATAATATTAACAACATGAAATATTATTTTAATAATTGTGTATATATGAACTATTTTATATCTTAACAAGAATAGAGAATTTAATGACAGTTAATAGGAATATTTATATTTATTAATTTATTATATCTGCAACATATTTTTTTTAGACGAATACCAGAAATATATGATTGGCAAAAGATCTATCTTATACAACATAAAACTCGTCCTATGGATAAGAAACGAGAACCATGGGAATTTGGTATCAGAATATTCAAACGTAGGTTAGATGATCATCAGCCACCCTATATACCGAGATGTTTACGAACGAATCCTAAGAAGAGAAAGATAGGACGATGGGCGAAAACATATTATCCATGATTACAAGTACGTATAACACCACATTGAATGCATAAATATACCAATGATTAAAAGATAATTATATTTATATCAATTTTTATATGTATTTCCATATAACATACAATCCATCTTTATTCCTTATAAAAAAGTTGTACAAAATATTGTACGTTTCGTCCTTTCCTTTAAGAAAACTAAAAAATTTCATAAAGATATTCTCCATTTGTATTTTACATGAGTATACATGTAATATTACTGCTCTGCCAAATATGATATTGTATGGAAAGATCTTGGGGGTAAGTTTATATCTATTATTTTGTTTCCAATCTTATCTTTGATTGTCAAAGCAGCAGAATCATCATCCCTGTAACAAAAAAAAAAAAAAAAAAAAAAAAAAAAAAAAGATAAAGATTTCGGATTATATATTTAAATAAATCTAATGGGTTATCAAGAAAACAAAAATATGCGCCAGTTTAGGAAATAATTCGTAAATTTCATTTTTTACATTCTTTTAAGAATAAACTATATTATTACATATCATGTCGGAATTAGTGATGTAAATAGATTTACTAACTTGTTAACAATCACAACAATAACTCTTTGTTCGGGCGTCAAGAAAGCTATCGATTTAATTTTGTTCTGAAAGAAGGGAAATATTCCTTCTGTGGAAGAAATTCTATAAGAGCCGCCTGGTACAAACTTGCTAAAATGAGAAATTGCATAGAACATAGGCTGTTTATAGAACTGATCTTTCTGCGGTATTACAATAATAGGTGAATCTACATTATTTTCAGCCCAATTTGGCCCACCAATCTCATTGAGCGCTATATTCCAATCTATCCATCCATTCGCCCAATGTGATAAATTCTGGAAATATATTCTCGTGAATTTTACAATTTAAATTTAAAACAAAGTATCTTAAAAAAAAGAAAATATATATATATATACACATATATGATATCATTGTTGTCCTTATATAATGAACTTAACGCATCTTATATAACAAAATTCTGTATAATACCAGATATAAATTGGATTAATTAAGCGATATTATATTTGAACTTTAGTATCTCTAAAAATTTTTAATGTGCATTTAAAGTTAGATGTCCTGGATAGATTCTCATTTTATGCTTATATTAAAAATATTTTTTATTAGCTAATCCAAAAGCAAGCTAAATTCAAAATGAGACCAAATGTCTATATATTTCGGTTTAGAATATAAATTTATTAATTTTAACATATACAAACCTCTATTATATCTAGTATATATCGTTCTCCTCGATTCCATGATCCTAATTGTACCTTTGGTCCGAAAGAATCGGTACCTGAACTACCTGTGAAATGAAAATTATGTAAACATTTTGAGGTTTTTCGAAAAAAGTTATTACAATTTTTTATCATCTTCATTATTAATTGTGGAACATTTAATTACGCTTACCGGTGCATGCCTCGGTCATTATTAAAAACTTGTCCGGATATTTATTATGCGTATCGGTTATTCTGTCTGGTGAAAATACTTCATCTGCATACCAATGGAAGGCAATACCGGAAAATAAATCTTTAGCCTTCTGATTTTCGAACATTATGTCGGGATACCACGGTAATTCGTAACGTTGATCGTCCATTGCCATATAAACGAGATCTTTGTATCCGGACAAAGTCGGAGCTAAATAATTTACGGACCATTCTGCTTCTTCATCGGGCATCCAGAGCATAGCATTGAAAGGGAAGAATGGGATAAGTCCGTCTAATGGCTCGTTGCCGGGCGTTATACCCCATATTTCTATACCACGCTCTTTATACGCATCAAAGAATTTCTTGATGTAATCAGCATAAAGTTGCTTATATTCGGATTTCAAGGCACCTGTTGAATCATTGTGCATTATGTATTTTATATCTCCTAATATTATAACGTCTCATCTGTCTCGCATATTCACAAATAAAAAAAAATTCAATAGTAAAAAAGGCTAATCAGAGCCGGATGCGTGATATAGGCGCAAAACAAGAAACAAATAAAATTAATTATAAGCGCTGTTATATGTGCGATGTGGACGCAAATTAAATTAAATTAATTAAAAATTAAATTAAAATAATTAAAAAAAAATTAATTTTTAAATTATATTTTATTGTTGAAAAAAATATCCACTTGTTAATAGCATTAATAGTTTTGTAAAAAATCCGATTTTCCCGAATAAAATTTTGTACTTTATCGAATCATAATTACCCCACTTTATGTTGTCAGTGTTTTTCATCCAGGCCGGAGCAGACCACGCAGTAGTAAATAGCCTTAGATCGTCTGGATTAGACATAATATTTTTGATATGCTGTAGATACTGGATTTTATAGTCGTCTTCCTTCACAAGGCTGAAATTACTTAATGTAATATCGCCGGGTACGTCGTCGTACGTATATGGTCTCGTCGAGAAGTCTGTACCTGCGATAGGTATGCGGCAATATGTATATCCGATACCAGTGGAACCAAAATACGACCTGAAAATAATTATACGTGAGAGATGATGATATCATGAGAAATGGATTAAATCCCGTTAAATAAATTTGCGGCGATTTCCTAAAATCCGACACACCATTGGTAAATCATTTTACCCCCGAATGGTTTTAGGTTTTATATTTCAATACCAGTTAATACCGTTCAATACCGCGTATCGTTCAATTCTGACATTATATAGAAGTTTGCAAAATAATGACTCTGATAATTCTACTACTATCGCTTGTTCTCTGTGAAGAACACCGGCAAAAGAATATATTTAAAGTTAATTAGAATTGATTATATCATTAATGTTTATTATGATTCTCTTGGTTTTCGTCGCTTTTTAGACAGATATTATTGCTGTTCTTATATAAAACTAGTTATATACTCGAGTAATTGGTGTTGAGTCTCATTACTGAGAGTTCTAATATTGAGTGCAGCGGCATCAGTCATTGCTCCGCCGAATCCAAATATTTTTTGATACTTCTCACTACTGTCCAATGTGAGAACTTTAGTCTCAGACATATTCTTAACTTCATTCTCGGAGAAATTATTAATGGAATATTCCATCATTTTGCCATCTTTGGTGGAAATGTACCAGAGAAACTGGTCCTTTCGCAGTTGCGGCACTTTTATTGTGTCACAATATGTTGAATTACAGATGCACACATTACCATTTTTTCCAAACGAAAGTGGTATGCATCCATCGCCTACAACAAGATAGACAAATTTCAAATTAAATGTTTCAATATTTAAACTATCACGTATACTCTTCTTATCGACAAGCAATGAAAATCTTAAAAAAGATCTGATAACGATAAGATTTTGTAGAAATATTGACTATCCTGTGTCGAGAAAAAAATAACTCTATTCTGTCGTCAAATTAGATTCAGTTGTTTTAATAAGTTCGAATTATAGTGTTGATTATAAACGAGAGTTTTTAAATGAATCGTTTAAAATATATGTTAAAAAAATTTTTTTAATATTCATTTTATGATTCATTGAGTTTTGAAATAGTATGTTAAAGCGATGCAAAATAACTGATATAAATATACCATATTTTCGTTACGTAAAAAAGCATAATGAATGCGATTATTTCGAGATTAGATACACAGAACATAGAACAATTTTATACACAAAAGTTTTCAGAAGATATTTTACATATAACATTTTGTCTCTTCCTTTCTTTTACTTTAAAAAAATGTATTTATCGAAATTTCGAAAAACAAGAAAGTTGTTACATTGCAATATTGATAACGTTTAAATAAAAGAGAACAAAATATGTAACGTCTTTTTCGTGAAAAATTTTATTGTCGTGATGATTTAAAAAACTTTTCACGTTCAAAAATAAAATGTCATGCACGTATTGAAGCATATTGCGTATATTGAACATTACTTACCTTTCACTGCAACAAAGGTGACAATCAGAATTATAGCACGCAGCATTTTTAATAAGACGACCAATTTGTTATTAATCTGAGAATGTACGATAAAGTATATTAATCTCTTTTGATTCCAAAAGAAATACTTATCATTGATTGTAAAAAATCTTATAGTCACATTATCACAGTATATCTGTTTGCGTACGTGATGATTGTGCGATATTATTCTAACTGCACATATTGCGATAACAGTCATCGAGCCAGTCAAAAGACCGTGTGTGTGTGTGTGTGTATGTTATTTATTGTTACTCACCATGTTTTATTTAATCGACAGTGTTTCATTCCGTATTTTTCTAATAATGTGTATATTTATATATAAAAGCATTACTGCGCGTTTACTTTCACTTCTATTTTATCGCATTTTTCGTAACCGTAAGCGAAGCGTTTCATTTATCTTTTCACAACTTACGTTACGAGTACGTACACGATTTTCGACGAGAGAGAATATTAGATGTAAAATCGATTAATCCCTAACTCAGATAAATTTTAAGTTTTCATGTGAATTTGCACAAAATCTAAGGACTCTCTCTAGACTGAAGGAAGGATTATTTGCACTTTGAAATTTATTAATTTGGCTTTAAAGAAGGTTTCTCTATTTTATGTTTCTATATATTTGGTTTTTGTCCGCTATATATCGTACCTGAATATACCTTCAAATTTCACTATTCTTGATGCAGAAGCGTTACTATTCTCGGTTCCGCAGTGGTTCTTCTAGTTAATAACTGAAGAATAATGCAACGTTATTTGTAACGGTAATCATATGCCTATCGGCACATGGTGATAAACTGTTTCCACGAATTTATCAGTAATAAGACTTTAACTAATACACATTTTATTATTTTAAGAAACAAGGTTGAATTGTTCTGACTTGCATTGAATTTGTATTTACATTATGTTTAACAATATACAAAATGTGAGAGATCTTTATACTGTCATTATATCATTAAACGAGTTGATATAAGGTATATTTATAAGTAATAGCTTAAACTCAAAATTGTGGTTAGCTGCTACGTTTATTACATATATACTGAATTTTTCAAGAGGGCAATTCAAGGAAAAAAAATCAAGTTGCAATATAAAAATATTATTGCCAATTGTGTTGTGTGTTGCTAACAATATATTTATGTTAATTCGATGCAAATGTCTTATAAATACATTGAAATTATGCAAAATATATAATAATTTATCGTATATCATACATTTTTTAAGAATATTTTCAAAAATTTACATATTATTAAAGATAAAAGCGCTTTTGGGCTCGAAATTTCACTAATGGGAACGCCGTACTTGTATGGCATAATTTAATATCCTCTTGTAGTCCATTAACTTGTAGTATAATAATGACATATTATCCAAAGATTTGGATAACAATAGGCTCCAGGATGTAAAAATTTAGTTTAATTAGTGTAAATACTAATTGGAAACGGGGGTTAATTGTTTATTCATGTTATAAAATTAATTATATTAAATATCACAACATACATTGCTAAAAGTATTAATCGTTCTATTGCCGTTTTGTTGAATGCTTGTCTTCTGAAATTGATTCTTCAATTATAACAAAGTTTTAATTTTGAAATGTTCAAGATTTTTTTAAAATTTTGCCATTATGAATGGCTTTGTATTTATAATTGAGAATATTATTCTTTAAATCATATCCGAGAGAGAGAGAAAGAGAGAGAGAGAGAGAGAGAGAGAGTGACAGACAGACAGACAGAGAGAAAGAGAGAGTCTAGAGAGAGAGAGAGAGAGAGAGAGAGAGAGAGAGAGACAGACAGAGAGAAAGAGAGAGTCTAGAGAGAGAGAGAGAGAGAGAGAGAGTGACAGACAGACAGACAGAGAGAAAGAGAGAGTCTAGAGAGAGAGAGAGAGAGAGAGAGAGTGACAGACAGACAGACAGAGAGAAAGAGAGAGTCTAGAGAGAGAGAGAGAGAGAGAGAGAGTGACAGACAGACAGACAGAGAGAAAGAGAGAGTCTAGAGAGAGAGAGAGAGAGAGAGAGAGTGACAGACAGACAGACAGAGAGAAAGAGAGAGTCTAGAGAGAGAGAGAGAGAGAGAGAGAGTGACAGACAGACAGACAGAGAGAAAGAGAGAGTCTAGAGAGAGAGAGAGAGAGAGAGAGAGTGACAGACAGAGAGAGAGAGAGAGAGAGAGAGAGAGAGAGATTTGTCTATTGGACATCGTTGTTCATTTTTTTTTCAATAAGTAATCATTTCATCAATTTTTATAATATTATAGTATATACTTTGTTGTGTATGTCCTTAAAAATTCATTCATAAAAGTTTTCTCAACCGCAATGAAAATATATCTTGTTTCGCGATAGAGAGCAATCTGAATTCATATCTTCAAAAATTCTGCAAAATCTTCGAATTCGTGTGCAAGTTTCACCAACAGATCCTCACTTTATTTTTATAAACTTCTATCTCAGAAAATGTTTTGTCCAAATATATTTTGGAAGACTATTAATTTTGTTACAAAATTATAATATATAATAAAGATGAGCAAATAGCTTGAGAATTATACGATCAGGGTTCTTTCGAGTTTCAGGCCTTAATTTTGTTGAATCGACGGAACTATGATATACCTATTGCGAAGTTAATCGAGATAATTACGAACGTAAGCGGTAATCAAACGTTATTTGCTCCTCGTTACGCCGTAGCTCGCTTTTGCAAGAGTTTTTTTGTAATTAACTTCTCCCCGCGAAATATCGCACCGCCGCCGCCTCTTCCGACCGCGCACGTAAGTTTTTGCCTTTCACTTTGCCAACTTTTTTATATGTATCTGTCGTGAAATTAGACTGCCGTTAGATAGATAAAGCTGAAGAATTTAAGCGGGTATGAAAAAGAGATACGCTGTGCGCATGACAATTGTTTTTAATTTAAGAGAGAGCCATATAGGAAAAAATGAAATAAACTTTTGAATCAACTTGATACTTATTATCGTTAGTGCTTTAAGAACATGTAGTTCTATAGAGATTCATACTCAGTACATTCTCGCTAAATTTTCGGTACGCGAGACATAATCTCGACCAGGACGAGTCAGCCGTCATCGTTGTCATCATTCTCATCGTCGTCGGCGATGGAAACGACGGCATGAGATAAAGGATAAAGGATTTGAGAAGTGTGACATATTCAATTTTGTAGCAAAGCGATACGTCTCTCCCGTTGAGTGTCGCGCGGTCGCTCGCGTGCGGAACTGTCGCAGCCGCATCTCTCACTCGGAGAAACGCTTATCCGCTACGGCCGTGAGATCTCGGCTTTTTGCGAGACACGCAACGAAATTTACGAGGTGGTATCGTCATTTTCGTCACGTAGCCGCACGTCGATGAACGGGACGTGCCGCTACGTCTGTTCGGCATCGTCGTCGTCGTCGTCGTCGTCGTCGTCGCCCCGAAACGCAGGAAATTGAAAACACTAAGGCGCGCGACCCCGATACCTCTCGCACGTACAAATGCAGATTCGCTCGTGCGTTTCGAGCATATGCTTGCAGATTTCCCGCGGGATTCGCCAATGCAATTTTGCACGTATCTGTTAAATCTTCGTAGATTTGCAAAGCTTACGCGTCTCTTGCGCCATGATTACGTCTCTTAATTACAAATGGACGCTTCCGCCGTGTAAAATTCTTTATTTACACTGAAAGCTCTGAAACTCTTATTTGACAAATTATACAATCTGTAAAGCTAATTTTCCACAACGTCATAAAGCAAGAAATAGGAATGATGCGTTTTCATAGTTCGTTGCAAAATGTACGGTATAGTAAAATAGGTCGTTTGGAAAATAGTGATCGATGTTAAACTTCGGTCTCAGTGAAATATAACTCTTAAGCTTATAAAAAAATATTTATAAACGCCGGAAAGTAAATTGTCAAATAATATGCGATATTAAACGAACAAAAAGAAAGCCAAGATTTATTTACAAACATGTAATTAATTAAAAACAGTGCTAATGGACATCTGTCCAATCGGATCTTAATGATTGATAAATGGCATATAAGCGTGAAATTTTGTTATATATCGATGGTACCGAATACGATTGATGGTGATATAATTCTCGTCCCGTACACAGCAGTATATATTTTAATATAACTATATTGGAGATGTTTGGTACAATTGACACGGAATTCCGTGCCGTATGTGATGAACTGCAATGTTCATCGCAATTAGAAAGGCGGATGCGAGACAATCTCTGCTCATGTTGTCATATGATATCGAGTGCCTGTATATGCCGAGGTTGCAAACATTGCTCCTCCCTTTGATTGCGCGAATAAAGATGATAATATCGGGGTAATAATATCGATATAATGTATCAGCATCTATAATCTTGTATATAACTTGCATTTAAAGTTTTTTAACTTGTATTATAATTCGTATTTTAACTAATAATATGAATATTATAGATTTTTGTGCGGAGACCCTATAATAATTTAAATATCTTTGTAAACGCGAAAAATTTTTTACCTTGTAATGCTCTATGGGGGTAAGTACTGCTGTCGCGATATGCGAATCGATCGGTATGCAAATTCGTATTTGTCGGCAGATAGTTAAAATTAATAATGACGCGTGAAAGGTACGAATTATATTAATGGACTATACATCGGTGAGAATGCGTTGATTCGCGCGAAATTTATTGCTCGCACTTATCGTTGAAAATTTTGGGCGGAATTCGTTCGATTCACGCATCATTTAACAGGATGCATTGTGCATTGTCAACTGGATAATTCGGCGAATCATTCTATCGCTCGTGCAAAATATACAAAATTTAGAGATGTGGCAGGGCGCGATACAAACTTATGAACAGCATCCGCGGAAATAATAACGACACCGTGTCGGAAATAATTGAGGGCGTACTGCGAAATCTCGCCGTATGCGAATTGCAATCCGTATTTCGAGAATCTCATTTGTATTGCGCGTGATTCGTTTTTCGACTACACTCGGGAGATGTAAATTACACGATATTATTGAAATCAGTAGACTGAACCGTTAACTGCAGCTGAGCTGCATGCAGGATGTCATCGGTTGCACATGTGGCTGGTGCGTTACGAAGAAAAAAAGGCAGGAAGAAAGAGAAAGGGAGACAGAGAGAGAAAGGGAGACGGAGAGAGAAGGATAGAGAGAGAGAGAGCATTTCGCAAATGCGGATGCATTTTGCCATTTTATTTCATCCTCCAAGCGGCCCCTGCATTCCGTGTTCACTTCATTTTATTTATCGACTGCATCCAGTCTCTTGCACACATTCATCGTTTTATAATGGCAAAATCAGCGTTGACATATAAACGCTTTTACATTATAGATCGGCTGAGTTTTTTGAATAATCTATTCGACAACAAAACTGTCTGTTATAAATTGACAATATTCGACAGCCCAAACAAGATTTTCATAAATAGACAAGAGAGATATGAAATTGTTTCAAATTCTATTTAAATAGATAATTTTGCTGAAAAAATACTATAATTTTTTATTTAATTGAATTTAACGAAGCAATTCATAAAATATATAGATGATTTTATATTTAGACAATAATGCGGTAATAAAAGATAAAGTAATAAATGATAATTATTTATTTTTGGGGTAATTCCGTCACAAAGATATATGACAATTGAATATGTATGGTCTAGTTACAACTAGTTATCGCTGTGGAAAATATATGGAAGCACGAATGACGTACCAAATGTTTTATGTAAGACTTTGGTACAAAGTTTAATAACCATTTCTATTGTCATATATATATATATATATACTATTGTTACGTAAAATTTGACAGGAACTTATGAAAGCTTTCGGATTTTCAAATAATTTCTTTTTTTTTTGTAAAATATTAATTTCTTTTCTTTGGTCCCTCTCTCTTTCTCTTAAAGACATACAGATTGAATTTGTATTTAAAGTGATAGTTTCTATATAAGAAAACGTATTTTAT